ATAATATTTAGCTTGATTTACTTTCAGTCACTTTTCTAATATTAACTTTTAAACATAAGCATCATTCAATTCTAACTCCTTATCTGTTGCCAAGCAGAGTTTATTCTCTGACTCATTTCTCTCTAGCTGAAATAGCAAGGCTTTTGCAAACAGAATAACTGAAAATTCTTTTAGATGCAATCATAAATTGAAATACAAACCAATCCAAACATAAACTAGATAGATATTTTCACAATCCATTAAAATATGACCCTTATTTGTTACAAAGTGCTTCACATTACACAAATAGCTAAAAAGAGCAAATAAACTCAACTAATTTGTCACTAGGCATGCTAGCCAATGGACTGGCAAGTGGATTCCAGCGAATGGATGTTTAGCATACTGGCTCTTGTTGAATTGACTTTTACTGTATGACACTTGCCAGATCATAAGCCTTGACCCAGGAATCTTGTGTGGGGCCACAACCATAGCTAGCCATCCCCTAAACCAGGGAACATTGCTTTGTGACTCTCACCAGAGGGGTAGTCACCCAACTCATACCATCCAAGATGGCCCCAATCTGGTCAGTAGTAATACTCCAATTTCTTAACCTAGGATCAAAGCACAGATGAAAGTCAAAGACTGAGTTTCCTCCAAGAAAACTCTTTAAGGACTTGTCCAGAGTACTCATAGACCTTACCACTTTTGCTCATTTTGCTAAAGGCTTTGCCTCAATCAGCCAATATTTCTTGTAATATTTATCCATATTTGCTACTAAATGTGACAGAAATTTGGCAGAGATTCTGTTGCTCACCACAGAGATATACTATCATACAGAACAAAGGTTGACTACTGTCAAAACATTTGATAAGATTAGAAAATATTAGACCATAATTCCCTGCAGCCTGGGTACCAAACCCAGACCCCAAAAGAAGTGGTTCAGGGACTTACAAGAAGCAAAACTTGAGCATCCCTCAGGTGTTCAGGGACGTCTCTGAGCCAAGTACCACCTTTCCAACAGGAAGCAGGAAGAAGGATATACTGAAAAGTAATCACACTTTCTTTCCTATATATAGAGTCTCCAGACCATCCACTTGTTATTCTACATAGACGTTTCTTCTCTCCCTAGAGATCTGAGCTACAGTAGAAGACATCCAGGTAAGCATCTCTGACTGTTTCTAGGATGCATTCTGGGATATTTCTGCAGTATTTTCCTGCTATGCAGGCATGGAGATCGGAAAGTGTTATGAACATTTCTTCCTTGTTTGTTGGAATTGGAAACTGTGTGCCTTAAGCTTGTAGTAACACTGTCTCTTAGTATGTTTTCCATTTACATAATAAAATTCTCAGATAATAAAATATCTGAGAATGGGTGATATATAAAGAAAAGAGGTTGATTTTGGCTTACAGATATAGAGGTTGGGAAGTCTAAGATTGAGCAGCTGCTTTGGTGAGGAACTTGTGCTGCCTTAACTGACGCTGGAAAAAGGGAAGAGCAAAACAAGCCCATGCAGAAGACAGAGTATGAAGAAAAGGCCTCACTTTATGAAAAAGAACCCAGTTCCTGGAGAAAGGCATTAGTTTCTCTTGAAGACCTGATCTCCTCTTAAGAGCAAATACCCCGTCAATAAGGTTATAATAGGAATCAATTTCAGCATGAGTTTGGAAGAACAAAGCATATTCAAACCATAGCACACTGAAAGTGTGCAATTTAAATGCATGTGGCTTAAATTGATTCTCCAGGTACCCAAAGTGCATAAGAAGTTTTATTGTTCATTTCTTTTCCATTTCTAATTTTCCTTGTACCCTGATTCTCTTTCCTTTGTTTATGCCACAGTTATCTTTCTTAAGTATTGTTGTAAAAGAATCTCATTTGGTCTTTTTTGTGGCTATACACAGAATATCAAGAGTGGGATAGGGCAGGGATTTAGAGATCACACCATGTTGTTCTGTAAGTGAGAAAACTCTAACCCAGGAAAAAAATGGAAGAACATGCTCTACATCACTAAAATGTTTGAACCCAATGGATAAAATATGACAGCAGCCAAGGAGAGACAGCAAAAACAAAAATAAAATTACTTTAAAAGAATTTTCATGTTTGATATTTCCAAAAGAAAATTAATCACCGGAGGGAAAATCAGAATTATTTTTGTTTTTCTTTTGTAGTTTAGTGTATTGGGGGGATCAATTACATTTGAAACAGATATAGAGTACACCATCCAGTGGGTTCTTTAAATATTATTCCGTGGCTCCATGTTTCACACACAATAATGGAGCACAATCTGTTCTTGTTCTTGTTTCTTACTCTACAACCCCAAGAGGGAAAGAAATGCCACATACTATGCCTTCTTTCAATCAAATTAAATTCTGCTACGCCAAGTTACCTCTTATTAAACTAGCAAGAAAATCACTATCTGCTAAACACTGCGGATCTTTCAGTTCCAGCTTGAAATTTTGCGAAAGTGCTTTGGTTAGGCAAAAATATTCAGCAAATCTTCTCTGGTCTTTGGTCTACTCTGGCCACAGTTGAAATGTCTACTATTTGATGTGCACTTGAAATGTACACTTCATGGTCCTTTGACATCTAGTGGTTCTTCATAGAGAATGAAAACCCCAGGGACGGGGTCTAATTTCTTTACACATAGCACCAAACCCTTCTTCTATAATTGTCTGAACATTCAGCCTCTATATACTCCCACTTCTCTGAGTACCCTTCACAGAGTCTAGTCACTAGCCCTTATGCCATAGAACTCATAGTACCCCTTTACTTTCTCAGTGATCTCCTACTCCCACTCACATCTCTTCCTCCCTGACCACTGGAAAGCTCAAACTTTCAGAAAGTACCTAGAAGAGGAGCTGTCTGCAGATAGTTTTTTTTAGCTTTGTAACAAAACATCATCCTCAGATACATTGTGACTCATTTTTTAATAGAAACATGTGCTTTTCCCCAAACATAAATCTCTACCCATTGTCCATCATCCTAAGAATCCTTGTCCTGGTCCCCCACTTACAGATGTTCAGGTTGGTATATTGAGTGCAGAATATCTGCCCCATTATGGCCACCTGGCATCAATAATTAAGTTGGAGACTAGCATGTTCTTCTCCCCCATTCTGGATTCTGGCTTCCTGGGATGAAGGAAAGTGAATGTCAACTACACCTAAAATCTTTGATGAAATATCATAATGGGTCATTGTCACTTAATGCTCTCTGTTTACCCAAGATCTCCTCTAGCCAAGCATCCTTGGCTTCTTCTCAAGCAAAGTCAGAAGATAATTTATCTTTCTCTAAATAATTATTGTCTCAGAAATAATTCTTTCTGAGCCTAATCAGTATCATTCTGGAATTTGTTAGACAAAACAATCTATTGCCCTTGTTCAAACAAAGGTTTCTTTGTATATGCCTCTGGCCACCTCACTGACAATGGATGAAAGAACATATTTACTAGACAGGGTGTTACCTAATCTGCAGGCACTCAAAGAGCCCACAGAGAGAAGTATGCTTATTCCTGTTTGTCATTAAACTTGCAAAGAGGTAACCAGATCTTTTAACTATTTGAAAACCAATCAGTTACCAGAGCTCACAGAGTGAACTAGTGCTGAAATTGAAACATCTTCCCAGTCTCCTTGCTTCCCAAAATGAAAAACGTTCCCCTTCTCTCTCTTTACCATGCTCAATGGTTAGAAAGGTGTCATTCAGTTGAACTGAGAAGTTAGCAGAGCATGCCTCTCTCAACCACACACCTGCTCACATAGGGACTTCAAAATATCTCATAGCCTATTTCTTTAGTAAAGAAGGCTCTGACTTTAGAATAACTAGTGAATGTCTTTCACCTGCCTTCTATTAGTAATATAAGATATTTAAAAATAAGAAAAGGCATAGAAAAAAGGGAATAAATGAAATTTAGCAGGGAATGATCTGACAATAACTAGAACTCACAGGTCACACTCACATTTTCTGAGTAAAACAAAGTCTTTATTGGGAGAGACAATAGAAGACAAGGCTGAAAAACCATGACAAGGCAGAACCCACCAACCTCCACTATTAGGCTGAAAAAAGTGTCATGTCTTACCAATGGTGAAGCTTTGGAGGTTTCTTAACAAGGGGGTTTATGTGAGAATTGGAGATTCCAGATTTTGTCTAGGCAAGAATGAAGTATTAAGATCCTGGACAAAGCTTAGTGGCAATAGGAATGGAAACTGATATGACTGACTTATGATAGAGTGTGATGACTGAGTAGGTAGTCACAGAGAAGAGAGGAAGAGAACCATCATTATTGTAAAGCTGTGGTGCTCCATATCATTCTAACAAACCAGGAAAAATTATAAACATATAGGAATTTGCTTTTGATATTTTCAACTGCCAGTTTCTGAACAAATGCTTGACTTGAGTTAATTCCATAAATCTTCACATTAAAACTTCTCAAGGTTGATATTTCTTCCTTATACAGATAGGAAAAGTAAGCTTAAGGATTTGATCTAAGAGTAATTTTTGAAAAGGTAGAAATGAATTCAATTTCTCAGAAATAGAGTTTGAGTTGATAATTGTAACACTCCATATGTTGATAAAAGTAAAGAATTTATATCCATAAGGGAAGTCCAGGCTAGGGACAAAAAACAAAAAAAACCCAAACAAACCAAGGATCATTTACAGTTGCTGGAAATGAAAGACTACTATCATGGTAACCTCTGATGGACAGCATGGGGCTAGGAAGAGAGGAGAGTGAACTGGTGGAAGAGAGCTTTGGAGAGCATCTGGGTTGGTGTCAGTAAGGGAGGGATATGAAGTAATGTCTGGGTAATGAAAATAATTCTCAACAGTGAAACTCCTTAGAAATCATACATATGACAAGGTCTAGAGCCCAGAAAAATCAACAGAGAGGTAAGTAACTAAATAGGCCTGGTCACAGGCTCTATTGGCAGGACACTGTGGAAGAGAAGGACATATTGCCTTTATCTACTTAGTTTTTGTTCATTCATTCATCATATTGAATCTTCGTTCCTCTGCAGAAGCTGACAGAACCATGGAAACATCTCTCACTTCTGATTTTCACACCCTTATGGATGGAGTGAAAAGCTGGGATTTACCCAAATCCCTCATTCCCTCTGAACTCCTTCTTGTTGGAGAGGATGCCTTTCCAGTGATGGTGAATGACAAGGACCAGGTGCTCATTGCAGCCTCCCACTATGGCCAAGGCCGCATCGTGGTTGCATCCCATGAGGGCTACCTATTCCAAACTAGCGCCTCCACATTTATTCTCAATGCAGTGAGCTGGCTCTGCCCCACTCCGGGGAATCCTATTTTAATACACCCATCCATGCAATCGATAACTAGCATCCTGCGTAACTCTGGAATTAATGCAGAGGTTAAGGCAGAACCTGGAGAGCCCCTTGGGGTTTACTGCATCAGTGCCTACAACGAGGACTTGATTGAGAAACTGATCCAGTTTGTGAAGAAAGGAGGGGGCTTGCTCATTGGCGGCCATGGCTGGTACTGGGCTGGTCAGCATGGTCATGACAAGGTGCTGTCCAATTTCAGCGGGAACCAAATGATAAGTGTGGCTGGAGTGTACATCACTGGCATCCAAGGGAACAGAGACCAATACAATCTCTCTAAGCTGATTCCCAACCTTCCCCTGGATGTGAGGTGAGCAATGCTTCCCTTAGGGAATTAGGGAATCTGATCCATGTTAAATATCATCCCTGTTCTATTGTTGTTGTCATTGTTGTTTAAGGAGCTTTTCATCTAGCAAAAGAGAAATTGGTCACTATAGAATGGAATCATTACAAGTTACTAATGTAATTATCGCCTGTGATAGTTAAGGGACAGTATCTTTGTTCTCTACTATGAACTGAGTATTAAATGCCTTGAGGGCAGGGAATTTTTCTGTTTTATTTACAATTAAGCCTCTCAGGTATGAATATTAGGAAGAGGTAGTAAGAAGAGAAAAGAACTGCGTAGTTTTAGGAGGTAAGAATTATGTCTCTTTTGTTTACCATTGTATCACTACTGCATCATATGATACCTGATATTGTAGGTGGTAAATAAGCATTGAATGAATAAACGAATGAATGAAATGAGTGTCAATATATTTCAAGGATAGCAGGAAAATGCAAAATGTGTAAATCATGTAGCCTTATATCCAGTAATTTCTCTCCCTAGGAACAGAGGGGATCATTGGAAAAATTTTGTCTTAGTTGAACATGGAAGGGCAATGTGGCAATACAGCTGGAGTCCTGTAGCATCTCCTTCCATAGTGGAACAGGGTTCTCTGTAAAGATTAGAGAAAAACTGGACAGTGGGTGGGTGTCTCATGACCATAGGATTGGATTAAATGTACTACAACTGTCCTTTGCTTTGAATCCCAATAAGTAGTTAAGTCAAAGTTCTTCCTCTTTAAACTAATTCTCCTGTATATATAAATATATCTTATCCTTTGTCATAAAAGAATAGTATTCTAGAGTGTTGATTGCAAATTTATTAACAGTGGAAATTTGGATTACAGCTAATATTTGCTGTTACTTCAAATTTCAAAATGAGTTACCTGTATGTCATTGTATATGAGTACAACAGGATTTTCGGCATATAGTATAAGAAGGTGAATCACAACTTCAAAAATATTCATTTCTGAAATTTTGATGGATCCTGACAAATTGCCATTTTAAAAGGCAATAATAATTTACACTCACAATGAAAAGATAGCCCCAGACTGTTGCTACTAATGGATTACTTAATTTTTGTTTAACATTATTATCAGTAAGCATTGTGTAACATCTTATTTTAATTTCTATTTCTCAGATTGCAAATGCAGAGGATGTTTTGCATATTTATAGTCATTTATATTTTTTGAAATGTCTATTTTGTACTTTATTTTTATTTAGTTTTCACCTTTCTGTTATTGATTACTATGTGCCCTTTAGGTATTACAGATTTCAATTCTTTTCTTTTATTTGTCTATTTTACATGTTGACAGTACTAGGATTTAACTCAGGTCATTGCACTTAGCAGGCAGATACTCTACCACTTGAGCCATTTTTGCTTTTAGTTAGCTTTGCCAGGGCTGACCTGGACCTCACTCCTCTTACTTATGCCTGTGTGTAGCTGAGATGACAGGCATGGTGCCACCTCGTGATACATTTATCTCACTAACATTTTGCCCAGACTGACCTTGAACTACTAACCTCCCTATCTCTACCTCCCAAGTAACTGGTATTACAGGTGTGAGCTACCATGCCCAGCTTCATCATTAGTTCTTTACCTTTACTTTGGGTGTGACAAATATATTTTATATCTGCCATGATCAATTCTGTCAGTCTTCTTCCTTTACAACATACTTTATTGTTTATAAAACCAATACCATTGCAAATTTCTTAAAATGTTCTTTATCTTTTCTTCTATAGTTTTTACAGTTGCATGTTTTACGTTTAGGTATTAAATCATATATTCTATGATTTAGTATATTAAAGATATTATATTATATATTATTTCTAAATCTATGGTCAATTATGACAACATCATATATTGTGAAGTCACTATTTTACTGACTTTTTAAAAGTTAATTTTTCATATACTAAGCTTCTGTATGTATATGAATTTCTTTTCCAAATCTTTCCTCTGAACCATTGACCTTGTTTAATTTTGCATCAACCATTCTGATTCTGTTGCTACAGCTTTGAAGTACGTTTTCATCCAGGAAATCAAACTCTTATACACATCCCTATGCTACGTCTGCATATTCCAAATTTTTATGTGTATTTGGATAATTACATTTACAGATTATAGTCCATTTATCAAGATCCTTTAAAATATGTTGATATTTGGGCAGAATTATACTCAATTTAGAGGTGACTGAGATAGTTAACATCTTGAAATATGGAATCTATTCAGCTAAGAGCAACATATGTGCCTTCATTTATTGAAATATTCCTTTATATTCTTTGTCAAATTTTAATGATTTCATCAAAAGGATCTGCATAATTCTTACTAGGATTATTCTTGGCACTTTCATATTTTGTCACCATTATAAAATTACAAATCTTATAATCATTTCTGATTAAAAGGACAATTATTAAATTTTGTGCTTTTCTTGAATTCAAATTCCACACTTAGCTCTTCTCCTAGTTATAATAAATTGCTTTAATTCTCTTAAAATTTTTTTAATTGATAAAATTTTTACAGCAAATAATGGATTTTTTTCTTATCCCATTGTAATATTTTAGTTTTTTCATTAGCTAGGACATCCACTATAATTATGACTAGCAGCAGTAATTATTTACTCATAAAACCAAGTTTCCTTCCATTTATAATTTTTTAATTTTGTTTTTAAATCAGGAGTATATTTGTCAAATTCTTTCTTAATAGCTATAGGATGAGGACATCGATTTTGTGTTCTGAATAATATTAACAAAAGAGTCAGAATTCTTAACCTCTAAGCTATATTGCTATATCTTACAAGCCTGTTCTTGCACCACGCCCCCCTCAAATTCATCAAGAGTTGAAATGAAAGAAATTGTGTATAATTAGGCTTGATATTTTGTTAACAGCAACCTCCTTTCTCTGGAGATTGTAACTTGATCTCTGATGTTTCATTTTATAAGCAGCAATTGAGTTCACTCATAGAAAATTGCAACCATAAAGTTTATCTTTAAAGCTTTCTATTTCAAAGACATCAACCTGAAATTTACTTATGAAATGTTTGCACAGATCAAGAAACCTATAGGTAGAATTGGTGCTTGAGATAAAATGCTGTGCTTTGATTTGAAACTGGGAAGAAAAAGTCAAAATGTTTTCTTGATTTTATGCTAAAAATGAATTGAAAAGTAACTTACCATGCTCATTTTCACCGCATTTGATGAAATCAATATATGAAAAAATATACACATAGGGATTATTTTTTCTGATTGTGAAAGTAAATTTAGAAAGATGCAGGAAAGAATAAAAAGAAACAAAAATCAACTATAGTTGATTCTACACAGAGCTAATTGCAAATAACAATCTAATATATACCCTTCTAACAATTTTTGCAGTTTGAGTAACATTTTTGGTATTATTTTGGACTTTTTGTACACATTGCTTTTATAATTTGACTTTTTCATTCATTTTATGTTGCTGCATTTTAACATAACTGTGCCTGTACAAAGTGTACTTACTCAATTCCCAGCTTTGTTGAACAAAATTTAATACAACATTGAAATGCCTTATCTGGCAGTTTCAAAATATGGTAACACTTTTTACCTAACTTTACTGATAACAAGAAATGGGAAAACAAGTTCTTCTCCATATTCTGATATCACATCTGCACATTTTCAAATGTCTTCTCCATATGAAAATTCCAGAGGCTTTATTAAATAATTCTAAAAAGTTGAAGGGTAGAAGTATTGGGCAGTGGTGGAGTACTTGCCTAACATATGCAAGTCCCCGATATCAGTCTCCAGCATGGCAATAAATAATAAAAAATATAAAAGAAGATAGTCCAGAGCTCAGACAAGAATAAGTTGAGAATTTCATAGCCTTTTAAAAAAAATTTGTGTATATGTATGTGTGTACAGTGGGTAGAATTCATGCCTCCCAGGCTTATAAGTAGAACTATTCTCCATAGACGTGACAGGCTGTTTTTCAAATTTGATTTTATTTCATGCTTCTAATGAGTCAAATAAACAATCTATAAGTCAGAATAGCAAACAAATTGTTCACTGAGACAGCAGTTTATCTTGGGAAATTTCACTGGGAGAATTTATATACACATTTCAAGAATTTCCAGATATATTGTGTCAATAAATAAAAAGCTCACAGTCTTGTGCTATTAAATACCTGTTACAGGATGGGAATGTGGCTCAGTGGTAAAGTGCTTGCCTGGAATGTACAATGTCCTGGTTTCAATCTCTTAAAATTGATTTGAATATGTGCTAGGTAAAGTTAAACTAGCAGTCCCCTCTGTTTCCTCTTGAAGGTTTTGTATCAACTGAGTTCAGGTCTTGGGTGTTCTCTGCTGCCTTATTCCACAGGCACTAATGTGGGAAATGTCTCTTTCCAGTTGTGAGGATGAGCTCAAACAAGACCAGAAGCAGCTGCTGGAAGGGATCTCTGAGATGGACCTCCGGTCAGGGGGCATCCCCTCACAGCTGCTGGTGCATGGGGAACTGGCCTTTCCCGTGGGATTGGATAGCTCATCTGACTGCTTTCTTGCAGCTGCCCGCTATGGCCGTGGTCGTGTGGTGGTGGCAGGCCATGAGCTAGTGATACTTAATCAAAGGATGCAGCGCCTTGTGCTCAATGCATTACAGTGGCTGACAGAGAAGAAAAAAGGCAAAATTGGGTTAGATTTAAAAATGAGAGCTCTGGGCCCTTTGTTATCCAAAAACAACTTGGAGTGGATCAGCACAGATCGTCTGACCAGTGACTTGAGTGTCTTTTGTAGTTGTTTCACTCTTGCCCAGATGAATGCCAAGAAGGTGAAGGAATTTGTTGCAGAAGGTGGAGGGTTGCTGATTGGCAGACAGGCATGGCTGTGGGGCCTCAAACACCCAGGATCTAAATGTATGATTCAGTTTCCAGAAAACAAGATCCTTAGATGCTTTGGTCTTGGCATCACAGATCGGGGAGGTAAACGAGGCTGCTTCCCCATCCCCAAATCTGAGATGTTGACCTACCACTTACGCAAAGCTCTAGCCCAGCTTGAAACCTTGCTGCTCAAAGAACAGGGCAACTTAGAGCAGAGTTGGGGGGAGAAGATGATAAAAGACTGCTCCTATATGTTTCAAATCCTACAAGATGATATTCCCATCTATCTGTCTGTGAAGAGACATATCCTGCAAATGATCAAATGGGAAGGCTTACCACCAGTGAGTAAGGAAAGCCCAGTCAAAAAGGGCAGCCCTCAGGCCCTACTGATAGCCTTGGCCCAAGAACTGGTCAAATCCGGAACAGACAGCTCTCTGGTGCTGGAGCATCCCACCTTTCTACCTCCCACGGAATCTCCTATCACCATTGAGATCCATGCAGGTATGGAATGGAGACCAGGAACTTGTAGGGACTGGGGGAATGAGTTTCCCAGCATCATTTGAGGGACCTTTCCCCCTCAAAAGCCCATATCCTTCTTCCCATGAACATTTAAGAAGATAGAGTGTAGAAATTGTTTTTCAAAAATTACTGTTATTGTTGTACTGGGGGTACATTGTGACATTTCCAAGGTTCTTACAATATATCTTAGTAGAATTCATCCCATCTATCATTCTCCTTTATCACCCTCCCCTCATTCCTGGAATAGTTTCAAAAGGTCTCATTTTTCCATTTACATACATGTGTACATAGCATTTCCACCACATTCATCCTCCTACACCCTTTCCTTATATCTTCCACCCTCCCACTCATACCAACACCAGACAGAACCTATTTTGCCTTCCTGTTCTTTATTTTTGTAAAAAAAAAAGACATTTTTGTGTGTTTAAGAGAGCTATACAGGGAGTTTCACTGTGACTTTTCCATGTATCTATGTTTTATAACATGAACTGGTTCATTCCCTCAATTTTTTTCCTTTCTACCTTAGTCCCCTTCTCATGGTGATTTCAACAGGCTTAAAAATTCTATGTTCATTTTTATATAGGAAGTACATCAACCATATTCACCTTCTTAACTTCATTCTTTTACCCTCCCTGTCCCGTATGTGACCTCCCCTATTTTTCATAATATTGGTTGTATAGGAATTCTAAGTGAGGTATGGGCAGCCTTCATGAGTTAAGAAGTGCCCCGAAGATCCATAGCTCTGCAAGGGTCTCTGGGAATTCTGAGATGGGGATGGAAATGTCTTTCTTATGATTCTTCTCAGAAAACTGCAATTCCTGGGTGAGCACTGGACTCTACTTACCTGAAGGGCAGACTGCAAAAATAACACTGCCTGACCATGCTGTAGCTGCTAAACTGAAGGTAAAGCATTCAGTCCCCTAAAGTCAACTTCTGACATTTCCTTGTACCTTTCCTTCCTTTCGCAATAATCTTTGGATTCTCTAACCACTCCACCAGACAGGCAGGAAAGTACCACAGTCATTTTATGGACAAGAAAAGTAGTCACAGAAAAGCTGAAGTATGTACTGAGCTATAAGAGGGGTACAGAATATGAGACACTTGGCAGAGCCTAGCCCATAAGAGATGATCGAGAAACAAGATGCTTTTCTTTATCTCCTCCTCCTCTTTTGCCCAGGATCAAAACCCAATGACTACTTGCTCTTTCCTGTAGAATCTGAAACACTATCCAAATATCCATGCTCTAGCCCAACTGTAAATATTAGAATCATTTCCACAGATATCTCCTACCCAAGACCCATAGGAAATGTGAGAGGCACAGTCACTGAGTCAGTTATTTACCTGGGAACTGGTTTTGTTTAAATAAAAAATATTCCAAAGCTCTATGAAAACAAGGAAAAATTATGATCAGAAAGGTGTACCCTGGAGAAAACAAATAAATAGAAGCAATCCTGTATTCATTCAAGAGACTTGTCACCCTAGGACATTCTGTTTTCCACCCCTACTACAATAAGACAGTCCCTTCAACATACACATGCATGTCCATACACAGAGAGCGAGAGATGTTCAGTCATTCCTATGATGACTTGTGCTCACTGTGACAGGTCCTCATTGGCTGCCACACGGATGACATAAGCCCAGCAAAAACTTACTTCCGCCCGCCTGTGGTGACGCACACGTACCAGTTAGATACAGTAAAGAAATCCTTCTCCTGGCTCTGGGGTGGCCTCCTCTACATCGTGGTGCCTCCTAACTTCAAACTAGATGGCGTGCACATCACCATTTCTGGGGCTTCCTTCGCCCCATACTTCAAACTGGGTGAGTAGGAGATTCAGTTTCAGTGAGGTTGAGTCATAAAGCAGAGGCAAGTCTGGAAGGGGAGAGGGAGCTGGGTTGAAGAAGGAATGGAGACTGAGTGAGGGAAAGAAAGAGGATGAGACTAAAGGGCAGAAAGTGGGCTGAGCATATGAAAACACTGTCCTGGAAAGTCTGAGAGAAGAATAGGAAAGGACGGGGGTTTGTGTTTCATGTTAAAGCAAAAGACATGGTTCATTACCAGATTATCTCTTAATTTGATCGAAGAGCTTGAAACACAGAAAAAATGGTTTGGGACAAGGTATGTAATCTTTATTCCCAGGTAAGACATCCCAGAAAGAATGGAAGGATAGTCTCCTGCAAAATGCAGCTCCCTGGGGAGAATTAGCCACGGACAACATCATTCTGACAGTACCAACTACAAACCTGCAATCCCTAGGGAATCCAGAGCCTCTGCTCCAGCTCTGGGATGAGATGATGCAGGCTATTGCCGGACTGTCAGCTGAGCCCTTCCCTTTAACCAGACCTGAGAGGATTGTTTTTGACGTGCAGATCTCAGCTGGTGAGTGATCCAGATCTCTAAAAATGTATTTTCTTTCTTTTTTTTTTTTGTCACATGAGTGATAAGTAATACTATACTTGGAAAAGGGACTTTAGTCCACTTGCCTCTTACTTTTTTTTTCTTTTTATTATTCATATGTGCATAGAAGGACCTAAGCTTTGTATGCACATAAAAATGTATTTTCTAATTGAACAGACATAATTGAATTGCAAAGCATAAGTTTATAGGGATTGGAAGGAGGAAATGGTACATAATGATCCTTACTACTCTGTAAACCATATTTACGTGCAAAAAAGGTTAATCATCATTTAAATCTCCAAGAAGTGAGAGTCATAGGATAGTAAGAATGGAAAAAAAAATAAGTGTGGACTGTTCACCTCTGCCCCCATGGAAGATAGAAGTATTGAGTAAGGTCAAAATTGGCAATGGAAAGAGGCAGGAGAAGGGTACTGGTACCTGTAAGCAGAGTGAAGAGAACTTGTTAAAACTTGATAAAACTGGAGAAATTTTAAGCATTTGGAAAAACTGAAGAAGACTGATTGCCATCTTCAGGCTTTCAAGATTATTCCATAAGCTATATTAAGACTAAATTGGAGAAGGTAGACTCTTACTGTTTTCCCCAAAGTCCCACATCTAGAACATAAAGGCAGGACACACTACCCACCTATACATGGGAGAACAGATGAGTGATGACACTCAGAGTTGCATGCTATGTGCACTTACACTTCAGGGTCAAATAGGGACGAGAATGTCAAACTCTGTCGAAGAAACTGCAAGGGAGGCCCATTAGGCTGCAAGTGAGTTTGGGCAGAGAGTGAAGCCAGACGTTCTTCTGATTAGTGTGGGACTACTCAATGTGTTCAGAGGCTTTCAGGATGGCAGATACAATCTACAAAGAATATCACCCATCGTCATCTCCTCATCTCTACCTTCCTGTCACCTTTTTCAGGATTCATGCATGCTGGATACCCCATCATGGGCCATGTCCCAAGCTTACTACATGTCCTTAACGCAGCAAGTATAAGAGCAAAAGGTCTTTGGGCTCCCTTACATGAGGTGGGCCACAATCACCAGAAAAGAGGATGGGAGTTCCCTCCCCACACTACTGAGGCCATCTGTAGCCTCTGGGCAATCTATGTGCATGAGACAGTCCTAGACATCCCCAGGGATCGGGCCCACCCTTCTCTGAAGCCTGAAACCAGGAAGCAGAGGATCCAACAGCATCTGGCCAAGGGAGCTCCCCTGCGTGAATGGAGTATGTGGACAGCTCTGGAAACCTATCTCCAGGTAATGAGCAGATATGGAGGAAGATGGGGACCACAGGGTCCCACAGCTGTATAACTTTCTGATGATCCCGAAAGCCCTACAATTTCTTCACCAGTCCCACTAACCTTGGAGTGCATCTCCTTCTTGGACACAGGAGACTGGGACTCGGGCACTACACATCTGAAGTGGATGATGTGTAGATAATGGAATGTGTTCCTCTCATCTCCACCCCTCTCAACATTGAGGTGGCAATAAATAAAGATGAGTGGGATGATTGAGATAAGTATACTGGAGTAACATAACTCCAGACAAACAATCTTGCAGTACAATCTCATATTTGCCAAATATGAGCAGTTTCTCTTGAGCTGTCTTTATATCTGAAAAGACACCAACATCACCTAACTCTACCAATATGTATGGTGATAGAGTGTAGGGATAGTGACCTGGAACCAAGTTACTCAAAAAC